GGTTTGCAGCCTTAGGTTAGGCATAGGGTATAAACTGGGGAGTCACAGACACAAAGGCGGTTCTGGGGGGGGTGGATTTGCTCACACATACCAGCCAGTACTTACAGATGACTCCCCGGTGGCTCTTGGGTTTGGTCGTATCTTGGCTTGGCATTATGCGGTTGTCGTGCTTTGCCACAGTGTTGGTGTGTGTGTTATATAGATATCTGCAGCGTTATACCACTTTGGAAGGGGATTAGAAGGGCTGCTGTGTTGTTAAATCAAGGAGTCGCCTCTGTGGTTCATTGTAACCGGTACCTGCCCATGCAGGGGCGTTTCAAACGTACTGCACGAAGCACAAGGAGACCACCAAGGCAGCATTTCTGAATGCCTGCCCGAAGTTTGGGGTATAGATGAGAGCTGCGGTGAAAACGGAGGACGAGAAGAGTGTAAAAGGTCATCGAATGGAGGACGAAAAGGGAAAACCTCTTTAAAAACAGTCAGGTGTGGGGTAAAGGTTCCAATTTGCCCGATAAATTGCCAGCGTGGGGTGCGAAGAGGGGGCGAATTGAAGGGAAGTAAAATGATTGGGAAATTGATCACTGTCAGTAAGCCGGGAGAACAGACCGGGTGTAGCTAATCGGCTTTGGGAGAGGGCCCCCGGAGTCGTGGGCGAGAGATTTTTTTGGGAGTCCGAGGATCCTTTGGGGTGTGGGGTACCTGTATTTTAAAAGCAATGGGGGGGGGGGGGTGGGGTGGAAGAAAAGCCTTAAAGGGGAATCCCACGGAACCAGTGGGGACCCTCCCCAGAGGGAAAATGGTGGGCCAAAAATCACTCAGTAAACAAGAATCGGTGGCGGGTTAATGACGAAACAAGGAGGCAAAATCCGGATGGTTTTGCCCAGGGGGAGGTAAAGAACGAGGCGTTAACCACCTTGAAAAAGGGGTTGATAGGGCTGCTTGTTGTAATGCAGCAAGTATGAAAACAAATAGTGATGGTACGGAACGTGGGAGAAGAAGGGCATTTCATTAAAGGTCCCATCAGGAAAAGGATTGAAGAAACAATAAATTATAGGCTGAGAAGTGAGAAATAACAGCAGAGTGTAAATTTTTTGGTTCCGAAAGCAAACCCCAACGGGGGGCAAACTGGGAAGTAACATCGAAGTTAAACCCCCGATTACCCCTGGGGCCCGCGAAAATTTTCCCCCCGTAAAAAGGCCATGTTTGGGAAAATGATAAAGATATTTAAAAATCCCAGGAAAAGGGGTTCCTACGACTAAAAGGGGTTAAAAATCCACATGCAGGCAGTGGAAAATTTCAAGCAGCGGAAGGAACGGGCGCGGTGAAGAAAGGGGGTTGCGCGAGGGAGCAAGGAAGAGGAAGGGGGAAGGGGATCAGTGCCCCATTGAGGGTTTTGGGTCCCCCTGAAAAATTTTATTAAAGATTGCTTAAAGGGGTTTTGGGAATTCAGAAAAGGCCCGTAGGGGAGACAATTTTGGGAATGGGGGGGGGAAGGATATAAAGTTTGGAACTGAAATTGGACTTTACCAAGGTGGGGGGGGGGGCAAAAAGGGGGGGGGAACGGGAGAAGCGTGGCGGGGGAACAGAAGAGACAAGAACCTGGGAGGGGCAGAAGAGGAAGAAACTTGGGGGGGAACAGGGAGGAAGGAAACTTTAACGAGGAGGGGGTAACCCTTTCTGCACTTGTAACTGAGGCCAAAGTGAGGGGGGAAGAATTGGGGAAACAAGACAGGGAGGGAAAAATAAAAGGAGGGGGAAAAGATGGGTGGGGGGGGGAGGTGTTCCCGGGGACCTTTTTTTGATTTTTGAGAAGAAAGGGGGGGAAACGTTTGGGAAGAGGTTCGTACGAGGTCTCGTCCGAAACTGAGGGCTTGAAAGAGAAACTCAAAAAAGGCAGATTAGACGAGGGGGTTGAAGTGGGGGAAACTCTGACCCCGGGGGACAGCAAAAGGATTAGATCCCGGAGTAAATTATGGGAGAGGAAACCAAAGAGGTGGGTGTAGAAGAGGGGAAATACCAGAAGGGGGGGGGACTTTTTTGAAAACACGGGAAAAAAGAAACACGGGGGAGTCCCCCTTGGAGGGGGAAAATGCAACTGCCATGGCAATAAGGGGAAAACCTTTTGCTCTTGAGGTAACGGAATTTTTCCCGCTCGGTTTTTAAAAAGACCTGACAACGGGGGATACGAAGGGTGAGCCTCATGACAGTTAAGGAAAAGGGGGATCGAAATTTCAAGACTTTTTAGAAGGTTTTAAACGGGAAACCCCGACGGGGGTTTGGCGATAGAAACTGGCCCAAAATTTCGCTGGAATTTGGCCAAATCGCCAAACAAATTTTTACACGTTGTGGGGGTAGGGTATCCCCCTTTTTTAACTTGTAAAACCCATGTCCCGCTATATAAAAAAGGAGGAGGGGGTTCTCGGCTGTCAAAAAATTTTAAAAAGGGCCACAAGCTAAAGGTAACGTCTTTCCCCCCACGGGCAGGGAAAAAACGTAAAGGGGCTAAACCCTTGGAAGGATTTGGGGGATCTTTGGGGTTCCAGCGTTCAAAAATGTCGGTGCCACATGGGCTGGAAATTTTTTGAAACTAAGGGATGGGGCAGAATAAAAAGGTACCAATACAAGAATTGAGGGGAAAATGTTTTTTAAGGGTGACAGGGAAAATTAAACTATATGGGTAAGACGGGAAAAAGCTCAAGAGCCTGGGTAGCATTCGTACGGTTAAAAGATGCCCGTACCCCTCTTTTAAAAGCAAGAAAAGGAAAAAATTTTCCAACATGGGGTAGGGGTGCCTTGCCAATACTAAGGGCAGAAAGATAGGGAGTAGAGGAAGTTGGTCGTAAAGTGAAGAATTTAGTCCACTGTTCAGTCTGAAACTGAGCGTGGAAAGGTAGTGAAGGACGTGTCGATCGTTTCTGAGAAGAACGAGAAGGTGAAGGTGGAGAAGTATCATCAGCAGGTAATTGTCGTTGACTTTTTAGGCGTGGGACCAGAGTTGGTCCGACGTGGAACGGGTCGGCGATTTGAAAATTGCCGCACCGTAGAGGGAGAGGCCGGAAGCATAGTCAGAGGAGAGCGAAGGTCTGATAAATCGAAGGAGTCAGTCGAGGCCTCAGTACCTGAAGCGGGTGAGGAAACAGCACCGGCAATAGGTACAGAGGCATGAGGAATGTCTGAAGAGTGGTCCAAAGACGAGGCGGGGTCAGAACGGGGTGCGGTATCAAGAAGGGGCCCGGGGGTACCAGGTTCATGGACTAGGGCTGCCATGGTTAGGTTACTTCTTCTTTTTGTTTTTAAGAAAAAAAAAGAAAGAAGAAAAGAAAATAAAAATAAAAAAAAGAAAAAAAAAGGGGGACCGGGAGGGATAGTTTCCTAGGAGGGATGAAAGGGCCAAAATCTCCCTCCGCGCCCAAGAGGACTCGACACCGCTAGTAGCGCAGATGCAGCATGGAACCCGTGCCATACCCTACCCTTCATGCCAGTAAACCAGCAATCTGGGATAGCAACCTCACATCTGCCGAGCTACCTCGGTGGACAAAAGAGAGGGCGGCGGATATCCGCCACAAAGCATACCTCCTTCAGCCACCACCCCCGGAATCCGAAAGGTGGCTTCCAGAGCTACACCCGTCGCCCAAAAGACACCCAAAGCTACTCCGGGATACCGGAGAGGGATCGGGACATCCCTAGGCAATCCAGATTCCACGGCAAACTACGCCACCGCCAAGAAACCTCAACGGAATGGGATGGACCCCGGTGTCCTTTCTCCTACCTAGGAACTAGCGCGCCTGTGGGAGAAATCCCAAAGGACAAAAAGAGGAAGGGCAAAAGGGAGGAGTGGGGAGGAGGAGGAGGAAAGGAAAAAGGGGAGGATGGGATAGGGGAGGGGAGATTGGGGGGTAATTAGGTTCGGTCTGAGGAAGAAGACCGATAGGTCTAATTCCTCAGACCAAGAGCCTCTTCACCACGCCAAGGAGCCCCCCTTGAAGAGGTTCCTGCCCACAATTCTACCATACCTGTGCGTGGCTTGGACACTAATCTCTATGCTGAGCTTCAGCATTTGCACTCGCGAATGCGCCATAAGTTCGGTGCAACAAATACGTTAAACTAGATTATCATGCTGAACTTTATACAGTTTCAGAAGACAAATTTGAATGTGCGTGTTTCCGTATGTAGACATTGTCTTGCATATATTAACAATAATGGTCAGAAAATACACAGCAGAGGGGTCATTTTCTCAGTTCAAGCATATTAAAAATCCCAAAATGGCAACTATGTGCCAAGACAGGCTGGATGCCTTGTCTCTGTTAGATATAGAAGCATATTTGTTATGCCAGATTGGTTTTGAAGACTTGGTCAAAGACTTTGCGATTAAAAAATGTAGGGAACTTTAAATAAAGCTATAAGTGAGCAACAATACCTGGAGTTTACCTAGAGAGTTCCGGGGGTCAATGCCCCCGTGGCCCGGTCTGTGACCAGGCCTCCTGGTGGATCAGAGCCTGATCAACCAGGCTGTTACGCACGCAATCCAACGTACGAGCCACAGCCCGGCTGGTCAGGTACTGACTTTAGGTGCTTGTCCAGTGCCTGCTTGAAGACAGCCAGGGGTCTACTGGTAATCCCCCTTGTGTATGCAATAAGCAATATTTGATCCATGTTGAAAATCTAAAATATATCTTCAGTGTTAGAAAACACTGGAATAAAAGATGTTTTCCTTTGTACAAATAATGTTTTTCTATTAATTATGCATTTTGAAAAATTGTCCACTAACATCGATTTCTGTGAAAAGGGGATTTTCAAAATCGAGATCTTTTAATTTTAGTAGAGATAATATGGGTTCTTATTTTGTCTTATAAACTTTTGGAGAGCTACTAAAAATCTTTCAATAAATTTTTGCATTTGTACGATTTCCCCTACAAAAGTTTGATCAAATTTGTATCTCTGTTGCCCTAGTTACTTGCTGCTATTTAATGTTAAATGTGAGGGATGACTTTGAAGAAAACTAAGTTTTAATGTTTTATTTCAGCTTCAGAACCTATTGAGTGTTAATGATTTGCCAGCTAAGCAATGGAAGAGCCTGTGCTTAGGGCATCAGGTAGCCTTAATTAATCTGGCCCTGCCAGTGAGGCTCAGCTACTTGACCTTTTGTTGGTCACAGGGAATATTTGAAGCTAATGTCAATATCTTCTGCATTTTTGGAGATCCAACTGTCCACTTTAGCCTCCAGTTCTGGAGTCAGTTTGGACTTCCAGTCGCCCGTCTCTCCTGTAAACAAAACAGAATTCATTATGTCTTATCTAACAAATATTCAAACCTCGTCTTGGAATTGTGAATTTTAAATTAGAGATAATCACATAATATTGTTTGTGCTATATGCTGATGGCTTACTGTATTCTGCATATTATATAATCTTGGGGAAATGAGCCAAGTTTTGACTGTCTGGATCAGAATAACTTAGAAACAATAAATTAAAGAACACTGTGCATGTGTGTGTGTGTGGTTTTTTTTTACCTGTGTATGTGTGTGCACATGTGTATGTATATATGTGGCTGTGGAAAAACCATCGCCTAAGTTCATGTTATACGTGCGTGTGTTAGGTAAAAGGAGACAAGTGCAACTAATGTGACAGTTCATTGTGGCAACGTTTCGCTCTCCAGGAGCTTTCACACTCCTGGAGAGCCACCTCCGGTTCGTAAGCACCACTAATGTGTTGAACAGCAGTGTGTGTGCATGTGACTGATCAGTTAATTATTTATCCAATCAGATCATTAGTTGAATCCAATCCAAGAACCTGCCTTCCCATCCCCAGATAATCTGAATTACTTTCCTCCGTCTCTGCACAGGGCAGTGTGTGTTCCCTGATGCGTGAGGTTTGAGGTTCTGACCAGAGCTTTGGTAAGATGGGAGGGGGGAAGAAGGATGGGTAAGGATGGAATGTGGGGAAGGTTGGGTAGGTGGGGTTATAAAAGGGTAGTGGCCTATTCACTTTGGTGTAATTTGAATATGCGTGTGTGCATATTGAGTAATTTATAAAGAGGTTGGTTTTATGAGTAGGGTATACCTCCTGCACATCAATTTCACACTGCTATATTGTTGTTATACCAGTGCGTCATTGAATTGGAAGGATGCATACTGCGTACAATTGCCTGCCTTTTTTTTTCTTTTCCCGCAAGAGGTTGGTCAGGAGGGCGCAGCTGCAGGCGGAGGTTGCCGGGCATTTGATGGAGGTTGGTAGCTCACTTGGAATTGGCCGGCAAGGCAGTGACTAGGTGGTGTCCTGCTGTATTGTAGTAGTAGGTGCAACGAGGTTAGTTGTGAGGTGTTGGTTGATAGAAGTGGGTCACCCGGAGATGGGGAGCGCTAGTCCGTGTTACTGGACATAGAATGGTTCCGATGGTATCCATTCTTCTTCTGCGGGGAGGTTGCTTAAGATTTTAGGTTGAGGGAAGTTCTCCTTGTGGATGAAGCGTCGAACTCTTTGTTGGAGGGTCATTCTTTGGGGAGGGGTGGTGATGGTATAGTCTGTTGTGTTCACTGGTTGGGGGGGGGGATATTCTCTCTGTTAGGCACGTAGAGTTCCTGCATGTCACATAGTTATCTCTTAGTAAGTTTGTCTAATCAGACATTGATTGCGGGGATTCTCTGTTGTATGTGTAGGTCCTCTGATCTGATTCTGTCTCTGAGTCTGGTGTTCGTGATGAAGCGGAGGGCTTTGTTTTGGACTCTGGAGTTTTAGCATGTTGGTTTTGGTTGTGAGCGACATGGGTAGACAGGGGTATTCCAGCAGAGGTCTGATCATCTTGTACAGGTGAAGTTTGATGCGGGGAGGAGCTGCTTTGAATCGATAAAGTTGGCCAAGGTGGCTTTCGCTAGGTTTACTTTTTTGGTTATGTGGGTTGTAGAGTTGAGTAATATGTCGATCTCGTATCCTAGGATCTTGTTTGGATTCCTAATAGCAATTCGGGTGCCTCTGATGGAAATGCCCCCTTTGTCTTCTATGGTTGATGGTAAGCACTCGATGGTGCTGATGAAGACTTTGTTGGGGTTGGTTGTGATTCTCCATTTCTTCTCCCACCTGGCTGTTCTATTTAGTTCTTCATTCATTTTCTCGATTGCTCTCCTATGCTTGTTTGCACCAGCTGTAGGGGTGGAGGAGACAACATGGATGACATCGTCTGCGAATTGGGTGATGATGGTGTCGGTATGTTCAGGTTGGGGGAGGTCGTTGACGTATATGTTGAAGAGGACGGGGTTGAGGCAAGAGCCTTGGGGTACTCCTGCTGTTGGTGTGAAAGGGGTTGATTCCGCTCCGTGGAAGGTGGGGATGATTTTTCTTCCTCTTAAGAAGTTGTAGATGAGCCTGAGAAAGGTCCAGTTGTGATCAGGGAGGTCTACGAGTATGTAAATGAGACCGTCGTGCCAAAGGCTGTCGAAGGCCTTGTGCACGTCCCTGGTGGTGATAAGGGCCAGGTTCCATTGTTTCTTCAGGCTGGCCACGGCATCAAAGATGATGTTTATGGCATGCTGAGTGCTGTGGCGGGACCTGAAACCGAACTGTCTTTCAGAGAATAGGTGGTTGAACTCCATGTAGTAGTTGAGTCTGTTGGAGATTATTCTTTCAAAGACTTTGACCATGACTTCGAGATGGGTCTGTAGTTCTCGGGGCTTTCCTATATATAGATACTACAATCGTTGTCTTCCAGATCTCTGGCAACTGTCCCCTATCCATGGACTTCTTGATGATCCTAGTTAGTTCAGACAGTGCTTCTGCATCTTCTCTCAGTATCCATGGTTGTGCGTTCCATTGTCTGACATTTCCAGCTTACTTTAAAGGGTTCTCCACTTCTGCTTTAGTATGCATAGCACCAAGTGTGTCAAGTACCTGCTGGTAAACTGTTTTATCTTGCGTCTGTTTCTACTGAGAAAGCCTCTTTCAACTGCTTGTTCAACACCTTGCAGATTTTTCATTTCTCGTGAGCTCTCCTCCTTCCTACATCAGTTGAATCATTGGACCTTTTATTGTTTTTCTTTAGTGACTGTAAAGGAAATTTGGCTCAGATATGTCATTCTTATATTATAGCCCGGTCTCTCTTGCTTGTACATTTTTGGCTGCTCTGCTCATATATCTGTTCTTGTCATCACTACTTTTTCTCTAATTGTCTGTGCGCTTTTGTACTATGCTTTTTTTTTGTCTACGCCATTTTCCTCTCCTTCAAGGTTTAGTTAGTTTAATATGTTTATTATGCACCCCATACCCATCCTGTGGGCGGTAGTCAAAAGATTACAGAGGTACATAATTGGTCCATACCCTTCAAGGGTATGTGAAATTCTCCTCAGCTTCCCAGCGCTTTCCGACTTGATACTCAGAAATCTCATTTGCTGACTTTTATTTCCCCTTTCTATAAATTTCATAGTTACCTTTTCTGAAGCCTAGATTCTAGTCCACTTCCTCTACCAATCTTCCTTTAATATTTATTTGTACATGGTATTCGAAAATCAGTATTGCATGGTCACTCGCTCCCACGGGGCTCTAATATTCCATTTCACAAATGTCAAATTTACTTGCGGCTAGATCTAGTCTTTCTGCCTTGTCCTCGTATCTTGTGTCCCTGACATGCTGACAGTTTTCAATACTTCTATAAACACAACGTTTCCATTTCCCCCACGAGTGTCCCAATTCTCCCAATCCATTATTTGTGGCTGAAATCACCCTTGGTTAACAGGTCTGCTTGAACCTAATAAGATCTTCATGTTGCCTACGCTATGATCAATCATTTCTCTGTTGTGTTAGTACATACATGTTTATGTTTGCGTGTACGATGACGTGTGTATTGGAATATTTACCTTTTCTGAAGAAACCTCCATCAGTGCTGGTTATGTCTGGATAGAAGATTGACGAATCATTAATATCTGCTCCAAGTACATTTCGAACTTTCATTTCGCTGTAACTGGTGTGTTTTACTATGATATTTAGTTGATCTTCAGTCAGTTTGGTGTCTAGGAAAGTGTTGAGCTTGTTAAGTTCACCCAGAACGTCGGTCTTCAGGTCCTCGTAGAAGATGAAGTGCATGTTGGGGTGGTGCCGCTTCTCCCAGGCCTCCTTCACATGCAGCCAATACGGCGAGTACAGCACTGGTAACAATCAATCAAAGTTAAGACACAAACATTCTATCTTCCTAATGCACTGTACAAAGTTAGCAACTAGAAAATTTCTAAAGAATGCAGAAAATTCAAAATTTTATTTAATCCATCCTATTTTTCGGTATTGAACACTTCTCATGCAATGTGGCCCCTATAATAAAGAGTTCATACGAAGCATTCTTTTTTTTTATTCCAATAAATAGACATCTTGAGAATACCTCAGCATTTGCATATCCTATTATTAATGTATATTGACAAGTGCAGTAAGTCAGAATTTACAATGACCCATTAGCAGACGTTCACCGCCACCATGAAAAACTGTCTTCAGATTGGCTGAACACACAGATCTAACTCATGACGTCTGCGACACTATATACAACTTGCGTCTTATTTTTTATTTCTCATTCATTCAGGATATAAGCAGTTTTGCAACGTTTCGCACTTAAACTTTGTTATGAGGAACGTTGCCACAAATCCACAATAGAATTTGTGTCCGAATCCTCATTGTACTGGCATTATAAACGACAGACTTACAGTCGTCATCTACGAAGTATTGGACAAAATCTTCGAAGGAGCCCATATAGCCGTGCATTTTCAAAATTCGAGAATGGTGACAGTAGGAAACCAGCACGTCCTTAGGATTCCTGGCAATGTACACCACCTGAGGAACAACGCTTCTGTTATTATGTGACACCTTCCAGTGCTGCGAAAATCTGTAGACGCTTTCACTGTACCACACTACCTATCAAGGACATATTTTAACATGATTCTTTATCGCATTACGATGTCTAGGTATCCTGTAAATCACTAATATATCAAGGGACATTAAAACATTAGTTTGCGGTCAGCAATCAGCCCAAGACTGTTCAACTGCCTCCAAGCATACATCAAGGGGATTACCAATAGACCCCTGGCTGTCTTCAAGAAGGCGCTGAACAGGCACCTAAAGTCAGTACCTGACTAGCCAGATTGTGGCTCGTACGTTGGATTACGTGCGGCCAGCAGTAACAGCCTGGTTGATCAGGCCCTGATCCACCACATCTAGCCGCGGGGGCGTTGACCCCCCGAAACCCTCTCCAGGTATACAAGCATTATAAAATTTACTTAATATTTTCTTGAAAATATGTATAGAACTTAAAAGTTTAATCTCAACAGTGTAAGAAAATATTACATTTTCCAACCCTGTACATAAATGTTAATAATTAGTTTGTAAGTAGAACGAAACCGATACGATGGCAATACATCGACACCATGCCTAACCCTTCTAGGGTAGGGTAGGTGCCCGAGCCCGAGCCTTTAGCTCATAAGACTGTCATTCCCATTAGCCCCCTTGAGGCGGGGATGGCAGACCAGAGAGGTCTAGCTTGTGGCTAGGCCTGGGGACAGTTGGTCCCAAAGATGAGGAGGTACTTGTGCCTCCTCCCATGGGAGACTTCGGTCTCAGACACTCCCTAAAGAGGGAGCCAAAGCCGGGCCACCACTTGGAAAAGGCCCGGGCCGGGAGAATACCGGCTAATCTTTAATAATAATAATAAAGATGGGCAATAAGATATCACAGCCCACAAACCATACCCCGGCCGGGATTGAACCCGCGGTCAGAGAGTCGCGAAACTCCAGACCGCGGGTTCAATCCCGGCCGGGGTATGGTTTGTTTGCAATCGTGTCATTACGATTTCGTGAGAGATATCACAGCAGTATGGTAAACTTGATAAGCAGCGAAACTACGTGTTTATCAAGTGTTGTAAACCACTTTTGAGGTTCAGAACACTTAAAACATACTGGTTAGCCGTCCAGTATTTAATCTTCTGTGCACTTTTAGTACTAATCCCTTATTTTACTGTACGTTAAACACTATAATTTCTCTCATACCTTTCTTTTAAATAACCAGATTGTTTTAGGACGCTTGGATTCATATCACCATTTAATTATTCACACTGCTTGGATAAATTACGTAATAGTTTTAACTGATTAATACATTACCTTAGCAGTATCAAGGAGAGAAGGACTTAGGAGAGAGAGGGAAGGTGAGTCTTGATGATGCGAGGATCAGAGGCCGACTCAGATATCTGTAACATAATCCCGTCCGCTGGGTTCTTTCCAGGACACACAGCTTGGAAACCCAACACCAGGGGATTGTCTTCTGAAGCTGCTAGATCGTAGCCATCAATGAGCATGTCAAATCTGCCGAAAGTCACTAAATCTTTTACGCAACCGTTTAAAATGTGCAGTTATTTATCTTCAGTTATTTGTGAGCCAGTTCAGTTGAAAACTAGATACTTGTTGATAAATGCTTACTCGAGGAAGGGAGAGCGTATTACCACGGGCAAGTCAGCCATGGGATGGTTCAGGTCTGGATTGTTGGTCATCGTCCACACAATCTCCTGCACCCACGTCGTGCCGCACTTGGGCCATGTATTCACCACCACGTCGCTCTGCTTGAACTGACCAAAGAAATGTTTGAGAAAGAGTGTTCACCTACCACTTCCTATATGATATATATATTTATAATACACATATACATACATTCTAAATGGGGAAATGGAACAGAATTCTTCCTCCGTAAGCCATGCGTGTCGTAAAAGGCGACTAAAATGCCGGGAGCAAGGGGCTAGTAACCCCTTCTCCTGTATATATTACTAGAGAGACTTTTGTTTTTCCTTTTGGATCACCCTGCCTCGGTGGGATACTGCCGGTTTGTTGAAAGAAGATATCCATACATACACACATGTATATACAAACATTTTCTCTACTCCCACAGCACGACTAACCTGGAGTTTACCTGGAGAGAGTTCCGGGGGTCAACGCCCCCGCGGCCCGGTCTGTGACCAGGCCTGGTGGATCGGAGCCTGATCAACCAGGCTGTTACTGCTGGCTGCACGCAAACCAACGTACGAGCCACAGCCCGGCTGGTCAGGAACCGACTTTAGGTGCTTGTCCAGTGCCAGCTTGAAGACTGCCAGGGGTCTGTTGGTAATCCCCCTTATGTATGCTGGGAGGCAGTTGAACAGTCTCGGGCCCCTGACACTTATTGTATGGTCTCTTTAACGTGCCAGTGACACCCCTGCTTTTCATTGGGGGGATGTTGCATCGTCTGCCAAGTCTTTTGCTTTCGTAGTGAGTGATTTTCGTGTGCAAGTTCGGTACTAGTCCCTCTAAGATTTTCCAGGTGTATATAATCATGTATCTCTCTCGCCTGCGTTCCAGGGAATACAGGTTCAGGAACCTCAAGCGCTCCCAGTAATTGAGGTGTTTTATCTCCGTTATGCGCGCCGTGAAGGTTCTCTGTACATTTTCTAGGTCAGCAATTTCACCTGCCTTGAAAGGTACTGTTAGTGTGCAGCAATATTCCAGCCTAGATAAAACAAGTGACCTGAAGAGTGTCATCATGGGCTTGACATCCCTAGTTTTGAAGGTTCTCATTATCCATCCTGTCATTTTTCTAGCAGATGCGATTGATACAATGGTATGGTCCTTGAAGGTGAGATCCTCCGACATGATCACTCCCAGGTCTTTGACGTTGGTGTTTCGCTCTATTTTGTGGCCAGAATTTGTATTGTACTCTGATGAAGATTTAATTTCCTCGTGTTTACCATATCTGAGTAATTGAAATTTCTCATCGTTGAACTTCATATTGTTTTCTGCAGCCCACTGAAAGATTTGGTTGATGTCCGCCTGGAGCCTTGCAAACTCGGATACAGAGTCCACAGTACTTTACCACGGACTCTGATACAGATTTTGCAGGTTAGAGTCCTGTTGTGGATGTAGAGAAAATGTTTGTATTATATATATATATATATATATATATATATATATATTATATATATATATATATGTATGTATGTATGTATGTATTGTGTTTATGTTGTGTGTGTGTGTGTGTGTGTGTGTGTGTGTGTGAGGAGAGAGAAATGGACCTCAACTCTCAGTGTTTTCTCTCACTATAATTGCCTTTCTAGACTCAAGCTAGCCCCTAGGACCCTAGAATGAAGCATCTCGCTATGGTTTTTTCCGACTTATATTTACGATTTTCGACGAATGGAAATTTGGTTTCGTTTCCCCAAGAGTTTCTCCTCACTAGTATTTCCTCGAATCAAACTCCATCGCCTCCCCCAAACCTCCCTCTCCCTACAACTACCCACACCTCCCTATCTCCCCTACCCTCTCATCCTAACCTCCCCGTTACCTCCTCTCACCTCCCCACAATCTCCATCTCCCATAACATCCCTCACCTCCCCCCAACCTCAACGACCATCTTAACTCCATGCGTATGTGTATAAGTGTGTGTGAATGTGTACAACTGTATGAGTGTGTATGAGTGTTTTTAAGTGGTGTATGAGTGTATAAGTGTGTACATGAATGTGGATATGAGGGTATAAGTGCGAAAGAGTATAAGTATATGAATGTGTATACATGTGAGCATGTGCTTGTGTGTATAATTGTGTAAGAGCTTATATAAGTGTATATGAATGTGTCTAAATATGTATAAGTGTGTGTAAGAGTGTACTGAGGAGGAATGGTCTTAGCTGGGCTTGGTAAGGGAGGGATGAGTATGGGTGATGGAGGTGGCATATTCTTCGTAATGGATGTTTGAAGGATGTTAGATCTTATTACAAGGAAATGACAATGTGTAAGATGTCGGAGAAAACCTCGAGTGTGGTCGCACACCACGATAGTGATAGATGTGTGTGTATCTTTAATATGTAAATCACGGGAGTGGTCGCCCTATGTAATATATGTTGCACTGGTTTGTCTAAATATTCCTGTGGTTAAAGTGCGTTAACATGACACTAGGGGGGTGATAACGTGCTGATTGATAACATACCCAGGCACATTCTGTTATTCAATTTGGTTGTGATAAGTCACTCATTATACCGCTGTTTTTTCCGTAGTTCGGTTGGCAGCAAGGTGTTGCTTTGGGTTTGCGGGGCAGTCGTTGTACTCGATTTGTAGGTTTCACTGTTGGCAATCTTGGGTCATTCTGGGTGCTATGTTGGTTAGTGCACTTTTGCCTGCAACTAGGTCATCATAGGAGCATTGGTAAGCTCTGGTTGTTGGAGTAAAGTATGGAGCATGGAAGTCTCTGGTTGTTGGAGTAAAGTATGGAGCATGGAAGTCTCTGGTTGTTGGAGTAAAGTATGGAGCATGGAAGTCTCTGGTTGTTGGAGTAAAGTATGGAGCATGGAAGTCTCTGGTTGTTGGGTAAAGTATGGAGCAGGAAGTCTGGTTGTTGGAGTAAAGTGTGGAGCATGGAAGTCTCTGGTTGTTGGAGTAAAGTATGGAGCATGGAAGTCTCTGGTTGTTGGAGTAAAGTGTGGAGCATGGAAGTTTCTGGTTGTTGGAGTAAAGTATGGAGCATGGAAGTCTCTGGTTGTTGGAGTAAAGTATGGAGCATGGAAGTCTCTGGTTGTTGGAGTAAAGTATGGAGCATGGAAGTCTCTGGTTGTTGTAGTAAAGTATGGAGCATGGAAGTCTCTGGTTGTTGGAGTAAAGTGTGGGGCATGGAAGTTTCTGGTTGTTGGAGTAAAGTATGGAGCATGGAAGTCTCTGCCGCTGCCCGCTGTGCCCGCCAGTTATTAGACTTTTTCATAAAGTTGTCTCAGATCGTCAACTTCTAAGTCCCTTTTTATGTAACAATTTAAGGCCCATTTGTGTGAGCACTCAGCTCACACAATGAGTGTCCGTGGTTCGATCCCCGGAACAGTTGGAAACATTGGACATATTTTCTTACACCTGATGTAAATGAGCGTTAGCTGACTGGTGTGGGTCGCATCCTAGGAGACGAGATTAACCTAATTTGACAGATATGATCTGCATAACCAAAGACTTTTTATATAGAATGTCACTGGTACCGGCTAGTTGTATCGTGTACTTGCAGAAGATTGTTGTTATAGAGTGAGTGAGGGAGTTGAAGAGGGAGTAGGGTCAAGATAATGGCGGAAGGGGGGGGGGGGGGAATTAGGTTATCATAGACGATAAGAGAATCAAAGACCTCCGAAGAATGGACGTTGGGTTCGACTGATGCCTTATTTAATAAACTTATAGACAATAATTAAATCGAATAAACATAACATGAATAGGGGTTAAAATTTAAGGTCTTAAATTATTCATCATAACAAAATGTTGAAGATTCAAAGAGGAAGGCGTAAGGAGAGGAGGAGTATGAGGTGATCAGTCCCTCAGCCTGGAGTCTATGTGTTCAGTCCATCATCACAACAAAATGTTGAATATTAAAAGTTGTGTCTTGTGATATAATGTATTCATTAAGATTTTATGAAGTATCTCTTCACTAAGTAAAATGTTTTACCATTCACGGTGATGGTATTATGTAAATATATATTGGGAATGTTCTTTTAATAGAGCTTGTGTATTCATGAGTTAGAAAATGTATTTAGTTTAATGAATTTATATATAAACTGCATACAGGAGAGTTTTAAGAGAGGGTGTGTGTGTGGGGGGGGGTGACTGAGAGTGGGGGTGACTGAGAGTGGGGGTGACTGAGGGTGGGGGTGACTGAGGGTGGGGGTGACTGAGGGTGGGAGTGACGGGAGGGTGGGGGTGACTGAGGGTGAGAGTGACTGAGGGTGGGTGACTGGGGTGGTGACGAGGGTGGGGGTGACGGAGGGTGGGGGTGACTAGGTGAGGGATGAGGTGGGAGTGACTGAGGGTGGGGTGACTGAGGGTGGGAGTGACTGAGGGTGGGGGTGACTGAGGGTGGGAGTGACTGAGGGTGGGAGTGACTGAGGGTGGGGGTGACTGAGGGTGGGGGTGACTGAGGGTGGGAGTGACTGAGGGTGGGGGTGACTGAGGGTGGGGAGTGACTGAGGTGGGTGACTGAGGGGGAGTGACTGAGGGTGGGAGTGACGGAGGGATGGGGTGACGAGGGGTGACTGAGGGTGGGAGTGACTGAGGGTGGGAGTGACTGAGGGTGGGGGTGACTGAGGGTGGGAGTGACTGAGGGTGGGGGTGACTGAGGGGGGGTACGAGGGGGGGTGACTGAGGGTGGGAGTGACTGAGGGTGGGGACTGAGGGGGGTACTGAGGGGGGTGACTGAGGGTGGGGATGGGTGGAGTGACTGAGGGTGGGGTTGAGGGTGGGGGTGACTGAGGGTGGTGACGGGGTGGGGACTGAGGGTGGGGTGACTGAGGGTGGGGGTGACTGAGGGTGGGAGTGACTGAGGGTGGGGGACTGAGGGTGGGGGTGACTGAGGGTGGGGGTGACTGAGGGTGGGGGTGACTGAGGGTGGGGAGTGACTGAGGGTGGGGTGACTGAGGGTGGGGGTGACTGAGGGGGTGAGAGGGGGGTGACTGAGGGTGGGGTGACTGAGGGTAGGGGTGACTGAGGGTGGGAGTGACTGAGGGTGGGATAGGGGAGTGACTGAGGGTGGGGGGACTGAGGTGGGGGTGACATGGGTGGGTGGACTGAGGGTGGGAGTGACTGAGGT